GCTTGGGAGGCTAAAGCAGGAGGATTGCAAATTTGAGGCCAGCCTCAGCAACTTAGTGAGGGCCTAGTAACTTAGACCCTCTCAAAATAAAAATAAAAAGGGCTGGGAATGTGGCTCTGTGGGTTAAATGCCCCTGGGTTGAATCCCCAGTACCAAAAAAGGGAGGGCGGATTAAAAAAAGTATTAACACATGGCAAAGCCCTCAAACATTACTATCATCATCATTTTGTTATRTATGTTACCAAAGCAAATGAAAAGAAAAAGAAATGGAGACAGACCTCAAGAGATCAGCAATGCTTTATTAAGCAGCAGAGGGGCATATTTTCAAGAGGAAAATGGGGACTGACTACAACAAGAGTCTGAATTTTATAGGGCTTAGCAGGGCCACCTTAGGGAAGGAGTTTGTCAGATACTTTTGGCAGGCAGGGGAACTTTGGCAGATAAGGAAAATCAGAGTCAGAGTCCTCACCCCCTCCAACACCCCACCCCTGTTAAGTTTCCACYTATATATATAATTTTTAAATGTATGTAGAAACTATTGCCACTAAGATTTTTAAATTTATGGATTGTCAATACTATACTGTTAGTGGTGGGAAGAATTTGAAATTTCTTAAATTAAAAACAAATCCTTGGGCTGSGGTKGTGGCTCAGTGGTAGAGCACTTGCCTAGCACATGTGAGGMCCTGGGTTCTATCCTCAGCACCACATAAAAAATAAATAGAATATTTATTATGTATTGTGTCCAACTACAACTAAAAAATAAATATTAAAAATACAAACAAACAAAAAACAGATCCTTAGGCAGGCACAGTGTTAAACATCTGCAATSCTAGCTACTCAGGAAATTGAGGCAGGAGGAACTCAAGTTGAAGACCAGCTGGTGCGATATAGCAAGGCTTGCCTCAAATAAAAATTTTAAAAAGGGTTGGGGATGTAGCTCAGCTATAGATTGCTTGCCTACCATGTGCAAGGCCCAAGGTTCTATTCTCAGTATCACAAAAAAAAAAAAGGGAAAGGGTTCTTAAACTCAAATATGGGCATTACTGAAATTTATAGRGGAAAAAGTAAAGAAAAATCAGAGAAACTATAAAATTAACAGTAACTTCCAAAAGTTTAATGTTTAATCTAAAAAGCAAACCCTATGGTAATGAATCAATTTTGTATCAGTTGTGCATGACTATGTCAAATTAATGTTATAGGCAGAAAGTGCTTTAGTAATTCAGAATAAAATAGGGATATATTGTCTCAGAAATTATGATAGCTCCAAAATTTCTATATAGGATGAAATTAGGKACAGAAATATGTGAAAATATCTCTCGGAAATAGAAGAGTTGCCTCTAAGAGATATATATATGTTGAAACCACATTTCAATTGTCCTCATTTAGACAGTTTAACATGTGTTAAGATGCAGGGTATAAATGACAGATTGAGGTTCAAGGAAACATGACACTCCACAAACTCAGATAACACATCAAAAATGAGCACTAGACAACACAGGAACCAGACTAAGTGAAGAAAAGCATTCGTGTGGAATGAAGGATGGGGATGTAGGAGAAGRCAAGATTGATGAAGAGGTTGGAGCCAGACTATAGAAAACCTGAACTACTGCTCTGGAGAGTTTGGGTTTTGTTTTGCAGTCAGTGTGAAACCACTAACAATTTTGGAAAGAAGGAAATGATGTAATGAAATGGTTAAGACTTCAATCTAGTAGCAACGTTTAGCCCAGACCAGAAAGAAAAGAAAAGGTAGAGACAAAAGGGAGCAGGTATGAAGTAAGAAAGGCTTGGCATTAGGTAATAACAGGAKAAATTAAACAAGGAATTTGGATTTTTTAAACATAAACAATATTGTTGTCATGCATAAAATACCATTTGTTTCTGTTGATATTTAGTAGGACACTGATCAGGTGGTTCTTATAACATTTTGTATTACGTTGTTTATTTTTATGTTGTTATATTTTGTAATGTTCTTTATTCACAGGCTGTAATCATGGCTTTAGCAGAAACCATGCCTTCGTACTTCTTCATATCCCCARGCCTTATACAGTTCTTTTATTTTGATTTTCATTAATTTGGGCTTTGAAACAAACAGTTTTATGCAATTCCTGTTTTCAACCTGCAGGTGGTGATAGAACTTAAAGGAAAAATTTTCAGTGACTATATTAAATTATATCATTGTTTTTTATGTGATTTTTGATACCCCCCAAAATATATGACAAATTTGTAAATTATAAGGTAAAATAATAATAACACTGAAGAACCCATCAGCTCACCTAACACATAGAATTTAATATGTTAAGGGACTTCTCATTCTTTTCTCCAAACTCATTTCTCTGTAGACATAAAAAAGTACTAACCTGAATTCAATGTTATCATTCTCTCATTTTCCTCATATAACTATGGAAATTCACCAAAATATTGCTTATTTTTCTTGTTTTTAAACTTTATGTAAATGGTATCATACTGGATATATTTTTATATGACTACTTTTTGTCCAAAATATCTTTCTGAGATTCATCCATGTTGATGAATGGGAACATATTTATATATTTTGAGATATATCTAAAAGAATGTAACAGGATTTTAACTTAAAATTGAGTGGGTAACTTAATGAAAAAAAGAGTTGGTCATGCCAAAGAAGGGACTAGTTGAAGACCTTTAGCCTAGCTTGTATATCGTTTGGTTAAATTTAAGCATTATTACTTCTCTTCTTTTATCTGGCCTTGACAA